ACAAGGAAGATACTTAATTAGGCAGGAAACTCCATCAAGGTGCTCTTCATACACATTTTCAAACCTGCATCTCAAGGCAAGATTCCCAGAATCAGAATTTTGCTAAGTGGTGGTCACAGGGACTTCCCTGGCGGAGCAGTAGTTAAGACCCTGTGCAGGGGACACAGGTTTGATCCCTGGTTGGGGAAGGAAGGTTCTGTATGCCCCATGGTGCAGTCGAAATATAATAAAAATTATTTTTTAAATGTGCCAGCAGTTCTTGTGTCTTCTGAGGTGCTTTAAAAAACAATTATTATTCAAAAAAAAATAAAAAGGTGGTCACAGCTCCTATAAGACTGGTTGCTCATTGAGTTTAATGTCTGGCACTAATATAACCTTAACTTTGAGGTTCAAGGTTTCTATTCAGCAAAAATCATGGATATACACATATCTCTGAGGATATCTGCCTAGGTAAAGCATCTGCCTACATTGTGGGAGACCTGGGTTCAATCCCTGGGTCGGGAAGATCCCCTGGAGAAGGAAATGACAACCTACTCCAGTACTCTTGCCTGGAAAATCCCATGGATGGAGGAGCCTGGTGGGCTACTGTCCATAGGGTTGCAAAGAGTCATACACGACTGAGCCACTTCACTTCTAAAGATATCTATACTCAAAATAATGCTGAAAACACTGTACTGGAATACTGAAACAATGGAATCTTTTAAACATCACTTTAGTCACCAATTATACTGATGTTTTAATAAACACAGACACCCATGGAACCTCTACCACAACTGAAAGCACATTCATCACCCAGAAAAGTTCCCTCAGGCTTCTCACTTGGACCCAAGGCCCCTCATTCCAGGAAACACTGATCTTCTCTCTGTCGCAGAGAGTGGGTTTGCCTTTTCCTACCATTTCATATAAATGGAATCACACAATATGTGCCTGGCTTCTTCCACTCAGTACGTCTTTGACTGACCCATGTCAATGCGTGTATTAACAGGCTATTCCTTCTCACTGCTGAGTAGTATTCCAACACAGTGTCAAACAACAGAATGTCTCTTACATGTCATGGTTATCTATGTAATCAAACTATACATAGAATGTTTCATAATTTTTCTAACAACACAGATTCATAAAAGATAGATAAAGAACAGATAAAGCACTGCAAATCAACTGCAATTAAAAAAAGAGAAAAAAATACCTAAAAGGAAAAAAAAGGATAAAGCAAGTAAGTCCCAGATTTTGCAGACACTAAGTAATCAAAAACAGTTGGTTATGTATACTATGCAAAATGTCTTAATATTTAGAAGTATATAATAATAGTATGAAATCAGAAATATTTCCCTTCATGTTTATTTTTGTTTTATCTTTACTTTGGGGGTTCTCCTTAATTCAATTCATATTTTACTAAGCTTCCAGGTTCTTATCAATAATACAGAAATCAAACAGCCTATGAAGTTAACTATTACAAACCTCATGGGAAATAAGTACAGAAACTAGCACTGAATCTGCTTTATGTCATGGAAAATAGTTTTACTAATCCTCACAGAAATCAGTATAGAAGTTTACGAAGCAAAGCAGAAACTTAATAAGCACATAATATCTAACACTATTATCAAACATTGATAAAACTGGACTTTAGGATTAAATACAGCTTTAAACATCATAGGAAAAAAGATACTTTCTTGCATAAGGAAGACATATCCAAAGGGAAAAGAAAAACATGACAAAATTCTAAACACTAATCATGAACTTGATATAAAATACTTGACCAGATCTCAAGGCCTATACTCCGGTAGGTTTTTACTCTCAGATCATAAAGACATGGGTTAGTTATTTCAGAATGGGCCAAATCCTGACATTTCCTTATCATTCAGAGGGTGGTAAGGTCAACGTCACAGTACAGTGGATAGTACAGTAAAAAATGTGTGTGTGTTAGTCTCTCAGTCATGTCGACTTTTTGCCACCCCATGGACTGTAGCCTGCCAGGCTCCTCTGTCCATGGAATTCTCTAGGCAAAAATACTGGAGTGGGTTGCCATTCCCTTCTCCAGGGGATCTTCCTGACCCAAGGTTAGAACCTGGATCTCCTGCATTGCAGGCAGATTCTCAGATGAGAATTGTAGCCCTGGCTGACACGTTGGTTTCTGCTTGGTAAGACCCTGAGCAGGGGATCCACTATCCATGCCCACACTCCTGAGACAACTTAAGGCACATGGTTGTGCCTTAAGACATGGAGTTTGTGTTCATTTATTGCACAGCAGTAAAAAATGACTGTATACGATTATTATGTAGTATCACCTGAGCCACCAGGGAAGACCATGTCTACATAAAACAGAGAAACTTTTATTCAAATCATAAATTTTAGGGAAAAAGAAACAAGCAAGAATGGTAATCAATTCTAGTTAATATCTACTTGGTGCCTAAACACCAAGTTTATTGAGATGGGTCCCAGGAAGTCAGTTTAAAGACCTAAGTAATAGTTGTGGGTTACGTGAATTAAAAATTACAATACAGAGGAATAATAGTATATATTCATTTATTACTGCTGTGCCATAAATGACCACAAACTCCATGGCTTAAGGCACACCCATGTGCCTAAGTTGTCTCAGGAATGTGCGCATGGATAGCAGGTCCCCTGTTCAGAGTCTTACCAGGCAGAAACCAAGGTGTCAACCAGGGCTGCAATTCTCATCTGAGGCTCAGGAACCTATTCTGAGCTCACTGGTTCCTGGCAGAATTTTGTGCTGTCATAGCTAAGTTTACCATGTTCTTGCTGGCTGTTGGTCACAGAGCCAGCAGACGATCTCCCAGAGAATCCCAATACTTTCTTGCCATGTGAACAAGGGCTTTTTTCCAGGCCAGCAGAAGCTGTCCCCCTGACCTTCTAACCTTTCAGCCTGCCATGAGGGGGTCTTATAATAAAGCAGTGACGGGACCACAGGAGTGAATATCGCATCAGCAATGCCATGGGACACAGCCTGACCAAGGCAGCTGCTACACTCCAAATTCAGTCTCCCCCACACTCCAGGGGAGGGGAGAGCATTAGGTGTAATACCTGGAGTCAAGAATTTGTGGACCACCTTAGAATTCAGCCTACCACAGATTTGGAAAGGATGCTGTGAGTGCAAGAGAGAAAAGGCAAAATTCAGACTGGCAGAACAAAGAAAGGAAAAGGAAGTTAACAGGTGAGCCCTTTAGAGTCAACCTCTGGGCACTGTTCTTGAAATTTTTCTTTTAAATGAAGAAATTAAGGCTCAGAAAAGTGAAGTAACTTGCCTAAGGTTATACAGTCTGGATCTGCCTAAAGAAAATGTCTGAACTAACCTATCTAGGTCCATGACTAGCTGGGTCACTGGTCATCTAAGTAAATGCTTGGAGTGGGGAGTGGGAGTAGGGAGGGTGGGCAGGCAGGGGCCATCACGTGAAGAGAATACAAGTGTGGGGACGCAGCTGCAGCAGCCGTGTGCAGTGGGGAGATTGCGGTCTGGTCCTCAGCTCTGTGTGACTAGAGCACACAGCCAGGTGTGTGATTTTAAAAAGATGGTGTAGGAATGGTGAATCACAGCCTTCTCAGCAAACTTTTTAAGCAATTTTAAGTGTCACATACAAATTATCAGTACAAGTTACATAAATATGTGCAGGAAAACTAAGAAGTCCTAACAGATGCTGAAGAACTCTAGTAGAAACAAGCCAGGTGTATACATTTCACAGAGCAGGGTGAAACCCGAGTTAAAGAGCAGCAGTGTACATGCATGGGTACCCAAGACCTACCTTCATTTCACCGCTTCCACCAGCACTCAGCACATTTCTCCAGCCTTGTTCCCTGGCCCTATTTATTCTCTCCAACTTTGAGGGGAAAGAAACATATAAAAAACCATTTCAAGTATTTAATATAAAGCACATGAAATATACTTAGTAATAAAATGGAAACCAGTGTATTCCTTTAAAAAAGGGGGGGCATGTGCGTGGGGAGGTGGTGGAGCATGCTGGGGAAAATGGACGATCCTCTCACCCTTTCCTTTTCTTGTCTTTTCACCTGCTCAGCCTTCAGCAGACTAACCTGCAATAATTTTAAAGACAAACTTCTTAGAACTCTTAAAACAATTATCATCTCCAACTTGGCTGGAAAAGAAAAATAACAGTGAAATAACTACCTGATCCTTAGGTTTCTTTTCTTTTTCAGTCAATTCCAATCTTCTTTTTCTTGGTGCTTCCTTAAATTAAAAAAAAAATATATATATATATATCAATAATAAATACTACTTTTTCTAGCTTAATCAGTAAAGTTAGCATACCGATGGTAGACGTATATCCTGGAAGGTTTAAAAACAGAAGTAAGTTAGAGGTAATTGTTTGAAAGAAATAAGGAGGAAAGGTTTGGAGGTTTTATAAAATTTGTTTCTTTTTTCATTAATTAGTTTTACAAAGCTGTAAAATAAGCAGACAGATGTCTTTATACCTCAAACAGTTTCCTCCTTTCTTCTCCAGGATTCACTTTCTTCAATGGGGTTTGATGGGCCTGGACAGAAAGTAAAACTACAAATTAGATATGGATTTTGAGGTATCCATTTGAAAAATTCAAATGTATGGAAATTTAAAATAAGAAAAAAGTAAAGCCAATACTGCCATAACTCTCTTTCAAAATACATCATCCCTCAAAAAAAAAAAAAGGAACCACTTAAGTGTCTGATACACTATTTGTTCAAAAAAGAGAAATACGGGATCCAAAGAAATCATCCAGTAAAAAGTGTACTCAGATAGAGATGCTAACTCTAAGTTCGCTAACATTATAAAAACAGAATGTCATCTAGAAAGCCCAACTCTGAAGAAATTTTTCTTTAAAAAAAAAAATGAAATAAGAGTTAACACTTAACTTCTCTCCCCACCTCCAGATATAACCATTGTTAATATTCTCGTAAGTATCCTTTCAGAGACTGTTTTATGAACATGAATACACACATCACTATATACATGTGTATATACATACACACATAGTCTTAGCTTTTTTTTTTTTTTTAGAAACAGTTTATTTTCCATTTTGGTGGAAGTCTGTTGAAGAATAGCTTACGACCACTCAGTGGTGGTTCCTACTCATTCAGTGGCCTGAGCGGTGGGAGCTGCAGACCAGTCTTCAGCGGAAGGCTGAGCACCCCAGTCTTCCGTGGGGAACTGCTGAATCGGCACGGAAGGCACCCGCACACCTCCGGACCAGTCTGCCACCTCGGGCTGAGTGGCGGTGAACTCTGGGGCTGGAGCAGTCCATTCTCCCTGAAACTCCTCCTTGGTCACAGCCTTCTCAGCTGCTGCCTGCTCTTCTTTCTCAATCTCTTCAGGATCTCTGTAGAAGTAGAGATCCGGCATGACCTCCCATGGGTGTTCTCGGGAGATGGTGCCACGCATGCGCAGAACTTCCCGGGCGAGCATCCACCACATCAGACCTACTGAGTGCGCTCCCTTGTTGTTGCATGGGATGGCAATGTCCACGTAGCGCAGAGGAGAGTCTGTGTTACACAGAGCAATGGTGGGCAGGTTAACATAAGAGGCTTCTGTGAGGGGCTGGTGGTCAGCCCTGGGATCGGTAACCACCAGAAGCCTTGGCTCCCTGAACGCGGCCTGGATCTGGTTAGTGAAGGTTCCCGGAGTGAAGCGGCCAGCGATAGGAGTGGCCCCAGTAGCAGCCGCAAACTTCAGCACAGCTCGCTGGCCAGTATTCCTGGAGGATATGACACTGACATCAGCTGGGTTTTCAATGGCAACAATGGCCCGTGCTGCCAACAGAAGCTTCTCCCAGGTTCTCTTCAGATTTATGATGTAGATGCCATCACTTTTCCTTTTGTAGATGTACTGTTCCATTTGGAAGTCAAGGTTGGTGCCACCTAAGTGGGTTCCTGCTGCAAGGAATTTGAGGACATCCTCCTCCTTCATTTGCAGGACATCAAGGGCTCCGGACATTGTGAAAGCTTCCCTTTAAGTTACGATGGGAATTCAGAACAACGCCGTATGGACCCCTCTCAGGGCAGCGCCGAAAAGGAAAGTCTTAGCTTTTTATACTTTTTACATAAATATAGTAAATAATGTGTTATGATGGAAAAATGTTTTTCACTATTAACAGTGCTCCCTGACATTTCCACATTGTGGTAAACAATTTAACAATGGTGATATTCCACACCATGGATATAATTAATTTAGTCAACTATTCCTGAAGGAAGGACATGGGGTTGGTTCCAATTTCCCCCCGTACTGTTAGAAACATTCTTGCAGGTACACTCTGTATCATATGCAAGTCTTTCAGAAGGGCAATTTGTAGATGGAATCGTAAAGTAATAATGAAATTAAAGTGCTGAGAAAAACTGCCACCTCAAGAAGCTGCATCAACTAATATTCCCATCAAGGAATTCATTTTCTCATAACATCACAAATAGTGAGCATTATCAATGTCTTAAATTTTTAATATCTGGAAAGACTAAGTATACTTTCCAGTATATTAGATAATTACATTTCTTCTTTAATACACTAATTGTTCATCTTATTTTATAGTTGCTCTAATTTTATGGGCTATTTGCATGTTATGAAAAATAAAGAGCATTTTAGATTTGCAAATTTTTTTTACATTTTGTCTTTGAATAGCTGTTTATTGTATCTTAAACTGTACAGAAGTCTGTAATGTATATAGTTAAATCTGCCAGTCTTTTCCTTTATGATATTGGCATAAACTATTTTACTAAAGAAGACATTTCAGACCTCATTTGCTTCTGCCACTTGGATAGTTTCATTTTTATATTCAGAAGTTATATATAATCTAACTTAAACTTAGATTTTAAAATATTAGATTTTTATTTTTATTTTTAGATTTATCTGGAATAAATTTTTGTTCATGGAATGAATTGGGAATCTAATGTTTTTCTCTGGAAAATCCAGTTATCTCATAACCATTTCTTGGCTGATACATCTTTTTCCACAATGGTCTGAAATGCCTCATTAAGCACATAATAAATTCAAATACACAGTAATCACACAATAAATTCAAATTTCTGGAATTCTCCATGTCATCTATCCATCTTCTTTTTTTTTAAACTATGATATAAAGCCACCTATAAAAAAGTAGATAAAGGAGATACACAGAGATCCGCAAAAATAAAGGAAAAACCCAGTAACTACTACCCAACTCAAGAAACAGAATATTGTCAACACACAGAAACCCTCCACATGTCCTTCCACAAGACAGCCAGCCACCATCCCCACTTTACTAATCACTACTTGACTTGTCTCTGTTGCTTTCCCACTTGAATACATGTTCCTAAACAATATAGTTTTGTTTTTTTTTAATGTTCTGATTTCTATATAAATGGAATCATACAACATATATTCCTCTGTATCTCACTTCTGTTGTTCTACACTATTTTCAGAATAACCCTTGTTATTATGCTTATTTATCTGCATTTGCTTTCTTCATTGATAAATAACATTCCACTGATGTGGAGTCCTTTCTTGCACAGTTATCCTGCACTTTTCACAGCAGGGCTATCCTATAGTAATTGAGGGAGTGTCTATTTCCTTTTCTAATTATTCACTGTCACATGCTCAACTTCTATCAGGCTATGTCACTGAATTCATTAACAGTGTTCTGCTGCTTCAAAAGGATTTTCTAGGTAGGGAATCATATCTGTAAATGTCTGTATTTTCTCATCTCTCCCAATATTTATATTTCTTATTTCTTTCTCTCTTTAATTTCATGGGCTAGGCTTCTGGAATAACATCAAATAACAGCATCATTACAAACATCTTTGTCTTGTTCCTAACTTTAATGTAAATGCTTCCAACTTTTCATCATTATGTATAATGCCTGATGTAGGTTTCTGGTATATATAACTGGGTCAAGTTAAGAATTTTCACCTCTATTTCTTGAATCAAAGAAATTGAATTTTTTTCAAAAACCACTTTATTGAGGTATGAGGGACATACAAAAAGTTATACAAGGTTAATGTAAACAACCAAATAAGTTTTTATAAAGAGTTAAATTCTACTGAACTTTCAGTATCTGAGATAATTCATATGTGATTTTTTTCCTCTAATCTACTAACAGTGAAAATTTTTTTTTCCATTTATTTTTATTAGTTGGAGGCTAATTACTTTACATCATTGCAGTGGTTTTTGTCATACATTGAAATGAATTAGCCATGGATTTACATGTATTCCCCATCCCGGTCCCCCCTCCCACCTCCCTCTCCACCCGATCCCTCTGGGTCTTCCCAGTGCACCAGGCCCGAGCACTTGTCTCATGCACCCAACCTGGGCTGGTGATCTGTTTCACCCTAGATAATATACATGTTTCGATGCTGTTCTCTTGAAACATCCCACCCTCGCCTTCTCCCAGAGTCCACAAGTCTGTTCTATACATCTGAGTCTCTTTTTCTGTTTTGCATATAGGGTTATCGTTACCATCTTTCTAAATTCCATATATATGTGTTAGTATACTGTAATGGTCTTTATCTTTCTGGCTTACTTCGCTCTGTATAATGGGCTCCAGTTTCATCCATCTCATTAGAACTGATTCAAATGAATTCTTTTTAATGGCTGAGTAATATTCCATGGTGTATATGTACCACAGCTTCCTCATCCATTCGTCTGCTGATGGGCATCTGGGTTGCTTCCATGTCCTGGCTATTATAAACAGTGCTGCGATGAACATTGGGGTGCACGTGTCTCTTTCAGATCTGGTTTCCTTGGTGTGTATGCCCAGAAGTGGGATTGCTGGGTCATATGGCAGTTCTATTTCCAGCTTTTTAAGAAATCTCCACACTGTTTTCCATAGTGGCTGTACTAATTTGCATTCCCACCAACAGTGTAAGAGGGTTCCCTTTTCTCCACACCCTCTCCAGCATTTATTGCTTGTAGACTTTTGGATAGCAGCCATCCTGACTGGCGTATAGTGGTACCTCATTGTGGTTTTGATTTGCATTTCTCTGATAATGAGTGATGTTGAACATCTTTTCATGTGTTTGTACTAAGAGTGAAATTAACCAGTTTCCTACTGTTGAACCATCTTTCCACTCCTGAAATGTATCCTATTTAGTAAGTTTTGAATTACTCTTTTGATAAACTGCTTGATTTAACTTTTTTAAAAAACATTTTTAAGGATTTCTGCATGTGTGCTCCTAAGTACATTTATGACCCATGAATTTCTTTCTTTTATATCCTGTGCTAGCTACTCAATTTTGTGATCAACATCCCCTACTACAGGGGAAAATTTTTCAAACAATTCAAAGTATAGTTCTAAATATACCAAAAACAGATTAAAAGTATTTACAGAAAACTCTTAAGTTATGTATCATACATCAGTTTTTAAATTTTCCAGCTACCTTAGGAAAAAATATATAAAAAGAAACACTGTATAAAAACATTCACCTGTTAGGTTTCAATTCAAAGGAAAGGAAATGGTACTTTAAAAAGTTATTTCAGTGATAATTTACATTATTATAAAAGTAACTCAGCATTTGATTAAATCAGCAAATTATCTCCACTAACAATTCCATTTCAGTAGTGGCTGTATTTTGACAAAAGTCAATGTTATAAAAAATTACTTTCATTTGCTACTTACTGCTTCAATTTCCTAAATTTTTTAAAATGACTACAACAGATAAGCACTAAAACTCTAAAAGTGAATTCAGAATAATATAAAAAAATATGATCCACAATCAATATGAAGTTAATAAAATTCATCAAATTAATCCCAACATATCACTGTTAAAATATATTGTACAGCTCACAACATACAAAAAAGAAGTAGAAAGTGATCAAAAGTTTTCTTTCACTAAAACAAAAAAGATATTTAAAATTTCTGCCCACTTTAGAAAGCAACATGAGAGGGGTGGCTGAAGTGAGAGACTGGGGTTGACATGTACACATTGCTGCTGCTAAGTCACTTCAGTTGTGTCGGACTCTGCGACCCCCCATAGACGGAAGCCCACGAGGCTCCTCCGTCCCTGGGATTCTCCAGGCAAGGATTCTGGAGTGGGCTGCCATTTCCTTCTCCAACACATGCATGCATACTAAGTTGCTTCAGTCATGTCCGACTCTGTGTGACCCTATGGAGAGCAGCCTACCAGGCTCCTCTGTCCACAGGATTCTCTAGGTAAGAACACTAGAGTGGGTTGCCATGTCCTTCTCCAGCATGCACACACTACTAGGTATAAAACAGATAACAGTAAGAACCTATGGTCTAGCACAGGAAACTCTCCTCAATGCTCTGTGGTGATCTAAATGGGAAGGAAACCCAAAAAAGGGGACTAATGCATACAAAAAGCTGATTCACTTTGTTGTATAGCAGAAACTAACACAGCATTGTAAAGCAACTATACGCCAATAAAAATTTATTTAAAAAAAAGAAAGCAACATGATACACGTTTTCAACATAACTTCCTCCTTAGGAAATGCAATTAATTTAATGAATACATTATTTAACTTGAGCACAATAAAATGATGGTATTTAAACTATGTGATACCATCAAATGGGTTGATAAACTGGTAAGAGGAGAATAATGATTTTCTTATACTGTGTTTTGTCATTTTAATTAAATGACCATCATAAAATATCCATTTTATAGATGTTTTAACTCAAAGTTACGTTAGCAATGTGATAAGTGGTATTAAATCTCACACAATGACTATTAATAAATAGTAGCTTTGCTCCCTGACAAAATGACAGAAGCAGCAGGTTCTCAGAACTATACGACCTCCTCACTGTGTTATTAGATCCCAACTCCTAACCAAACTTAGGCTAGTTATTTCCATTTTCACTTAAGCCAACCATGTATCTCACCACCTAACCCCATTAACACTAGGGTTAATGAGATGACAATAATACTGAAATAGTTAAAGAACAGAAGCTTTCTAACTTTTTCTAAAAGCAACCCACAGTAAGAAAGATAGTTCACATTTAGACCCAATAAAGATACACACACACATTCCATAAAATACTTTTACTGTGTGTAATTGTGTCTGTTAATTTCCATTCTATTACTTAAAAAAAAAGTCCCCCTCC